TTCAAACGTGATTTTTGATTTATGACATTGCTGGCTATCTGTGAACATCCATTTATTTGTTCAGAGTATCGTTTGAACGTTTTGATGTTTAATGTCAACATTCAGACGAGTTACATAACACGAATAGGTAAACGTGTCGCCTGAAGTCTGAACATTCACAGTGTACCGAGTGAATGCATGAACAAATACTTTCGTAATTGCTGTTTTGTAATTACTATTCTCGTAATTATACAATTCACCATCACATATTGGATACAAGGGGTCTATAAACACAAACTTTCTCTGAGAATGCATGCATATGAATATTCTGGAGAACGTGATCATTTATGGAATCAATAGTATCAAACTAATTGTGAACACCAGATGATCTTTTAACTTCAATTTGCACTCATCAGGGTTCATGTCGTATTGAAAAAACATGTACTTTCCGCCAGAATTGCAAACAATTTCATTTAGACCTGATGGTATTTGATAACAACGAATTTTAATAAGGGCACATGCATGTGGAATCGTTGTTGTTGCTGTTGTTAACATGAATTTATTTGTGGTTGTGATGTTATCATAGACATAACATCATTATCTCGAATCAAAATGTTTTACTAAACGTGTTATTCGCTCTTAAGTACAAATCCACTCTGTCAAAACACTCATTAACGATGTTGACTACTAATGCATTCTACATCATCTGTCCATTGAGACTAATGCAGTTTTCCAACCCGTAACATTTGAAATCAATGAACAGTAACTCAAATTAATTCGTCCGCGATAGGGGTCAGCTTGAGCTAATCGCATCGCATTTTCTCTTCATGAATACAAGTTAAACAATGAGATTTATCGATCAGTAGCATACCATTGAAGATATAGAAGGATGAGCACAGAAAGTGAAAGTTGTCATGTACATTATTATGTTTCGAGGCACTGAACAATGATAATAGGTGGTTATCATTATTATAACGTGTGATCACAACCAATTCAGCAGTTTCAATTCTCCAAACTGCATTCATCCATATCAACGTCGGCGGATTTCTTGCCTTTAGGGCCCTTTTTGCCTTTACTCTTCGATCGTGAACGTGACCGCGAACCTTTTCTCTTAGGTTGTGAACGTTTCTTTGAACCTGCAATAATTTCAACTTGTTGGCACTGATTGTAAATGGGACGATGATATACTCTGTGGTGACTGACAAGAGACGATAATTGAAAATGGAATGCGTGATCGAATTGATATAATAAAAATATCAACGAAATTGTATCACTTACCATCAGCAGCAGCATTTTTACCACCAGCAGCATCACTGGTTTGTTTTTCGTACGGTTCTGCTTCTTTCCTCTGCAAATAAGACGAGCAATGAGGACATGATACTGAATCTAAAAGTGAGATACTGAATCGTTCGTATCTTATAAGCAAGTAACAAATATTCCTTGAAAATAAAATGGAAATGGGTGTAATCTAAACGAAAATCCAAGCAACTTCTAGTAATCATCGCAAAACTGGAACTTGTATCACCGATAATGATTTATGAATCATTCGGCTATCGTAAAAGTGTTGTTAATACAAAATTTCGGACCGGATTAAGTTGAGCTTAGAATCAGCCCTAGATTGGGGCTGAAATCTGTACTCAAGCTAATGATCAGACTCAGCAAAGTATTCTGACTTGAGCATATACAATTACGCTCAAGTTAGAAAACGTTTTCATGCAGTAATATCACACACAGTGTCCCAACTCAATTTTCGATTGACGACAAAATGCGAATCGAAGCTAATCACCTTCTCATCATAATCGGGTGGTTTGTCGGCCTCAAATGCCGGAAAATCGTATGGACACGGCCGTTTCGTTAACGATATATTGTAGTCTTTTGCCCAGTCGATCATTATACCTTTCATATCTTTCGCCGGTTGACCATATACAGTTCTAGGAGAGAAGAATTTCGTGAACAAGCACTATATCTTAAACTGTTGGATTACAAAGTTTTCAAATAGTTTAATGGAGTGGTTCTCATATTCGGACGCTCCATTACGCCTGCTGATGATCTGACAGTACCCCGTTATCCCTCCCTCCTTTAAAATATGGAAATCGCATATGTTATGTTCAGATGACCGTTATGTTCAATCTTGTTCAGATGGTAATCGACTTCGCTAGGCCTTACCGTTGTGTTGCTCATTATTGCAACCGATTATGAGTGCATGAAAAGCTATTGTCTGTGACACGCTCACTTCAAACTGATTTATATGGATTCTCATTCTTTTCAGACGTGTTGTATTCACTCTCATAGCTATTACATGCTAATATCGTTCTATTGATGAGTTTTTCTCATTCACTTCGTTTCATTTCACTTCACAGTGCGAATAAATTTCTCATTCTGTAGCATATACTATTTACTTGATACGTTGACGAGTGCTGACTGCCGAAATCAACAATACAGCAATCGAATTGAATTGCTTAGCAACATTTTACAGTCAAATGATTAATAATAGAGCGTATTTGATAGAATGAGAATTTGACGTTAATTGTTGAATGAAATGAATGAGAAATTAGCAAAGGAAAACACTTTCGATGATAAAAGCTATGAGAGCGATTGCAACAGCAAGGAAAAGAATGAAAACCCTTTTAAAACGAATGAAAACCCTGTTAGGCCCGGACAAGCTAACGATACTTTTAAAACGAATGAAAACCCTGTTGGGCTCAGACAAGCTAATGATACTGAGAAAACGGGCGAATGAAAAGTGTTGCCATCAACAAACCGCGTTTACACACCTGAGTTAAGAAACATCATCACAATGGCGTTCCATCATGAAATAACAACTGCACGAAGCAGTAACTTCCTGACCTCTCCATTACCCCCTGACATCTTCAAATTACTCAAAATGGGTAAATATACCTCCTATGAGAACCACTGTTCTATTAAGGTGTGAAATGCAGAACATTTATTGTTGGTTATTCCAAAATTTCTGCCTTATTCAGGGGTAACTGAATGCTGAGTGTTCCTCATGAATCTGTTTTGTCCTATTCCTTTCTTGACACTAGTGCAATTCCGATTCTAAACCGCAAGATCTTTTATCAGCAAACATGATGACGAAGCATCAAGCAATTTACTTGGTTTTCTTGAAGATATGCTCGACAGCCGTATCTCCTTTTTGGTCATTCTCCGTATCCAGCTGTCTGTATTCATCTTCGGATTGCTCCGAATAATTGAACACAAGAAACAGTGAATCCGGTACACCTTTCTCGTCTTCATGATAAATACCCGATGATACGTATGCACCCATTTGCTCAGCAATTGTAAGAAGATATCAATAAGTTAGCTTTGACAGATATTTGAACGATATTTGTTATCAATTAATTGTAGTGATAATCAATCGATGTTGTCAATTAACCGAGTCAAAAAACCTGAAACGCCCAAAAAATTCATATGAGTGCCGTAGCTAGACATCTCACACGTTCAAGAAGTTAATTAACATTTATTTAGCGATGCACGATGTTTTTTAGCACCCAAAAGCTTCCTAACCAAGCAAGAGAATAACTCTGACAGTCCTTCAACAATGAGTCTGCGTTTCTTCCATCTAACTGTAAAATTTTAGATGAACACGACTTAAGTGTTGACGACGAAAGCATAAAACTAACCAGCAACCACCAGAGGACATAAAATTTATAAAATAACGGCAACTGAGGGATGCCGTCTCTTCGAACATGAACATTTGAATATTTTAGGAAATGATTGTGTGCAAAATGGGATGTTTTCATCAAATCGCATGACTTTTCATATTTCAATAACAATCCAATAATGAAATTCTTCTATGCATAATCATTTCATCTCAACGGATATATTGTATTGTTGAGTTCACCAAATTGTAACTTCAGCTTCTGCTTTATCCATAATTTTCTGAATTTGTATGTTTTTCGTGCTGTTCCATCGTAATTTCATAATACTACTTGCTGTTGCTTCATAAAAACGTGAAAAGAGCGTCATTCTTCGGAATCTTTCTGGAATTATTGTTTTATTTGGCTCAACAAACCGTTAATTCACCATTCTTTCCTGATTCGTGTTCATTTGCGTTACTATTCTCCTGATCAGTTTCACAGTACGATCATAACCGTTCCAAAGTATCATTTTCAATGAAATGGAGAAACTACTGAAAGTAGTTGATGAGAATGCATGCTCCTTGAGATTACAAGAACGACTGGATGCGATTAATAAACCTGTGAGCACTGACAAGGTGAAGAATTGATTTCCTGCGTGAAAAGTTCAATATTTTAAAGAAAGTAATCTGCAATTGAACAACGGAACCTGGAAGTATTCAGCATTTATAATCGAAATTTAGTTTGTGACGGAACCAATTCCAAGTAATTTTGATGCGCGTTACTTGGAATCGTGTATGTACTGATAGTGTAAATATCGTTAGGGATTGTTCATCTACGCTTTGATTACGTTCTATATTCGACTTACTAAGTATCGTTCGTATAAGTTTTGAAGTTTAAACAGTTTTTGTGAATCCCCGATTGTGGATTAATGAATAAATATTCGTTCATTTCTTTACTAATAATGAACAACAGCAATGACATAAATGTGCATTTTATACGTCAAAAGCACCTGTAAAACTCAATGAAACGCATTCTTTTAGATGTAAAATCCCTCAAATTCTCGACGAAATTA